TTATTTGATCGACATTAAATATGCGGACTGTCGATCACATGTTGGTTTGTGTAACTTTTGACGTTTCCCCCTGTTGAATTTCACTAATTTATTAAAATTTTAATGACTTATTGCCTGATTTCACGTGATATAATAATTACTGAGTTCAATGTTTTTGAGTATCCCGAAGTCGATTCAATATTTTCTTAACGAGCCGGTTCAGTCTATATGTACGTACGTACATAAATACGTGAGATAAACCATTCTTGGTCGCCGATAATCTAACATTGTAATACTTTTATAGACACGTCAACTCTGATGATCATTATATAGGTTGAATTTTTATTGGCTGTTGATGTTGATCAACATTAGAGGTTTCACAGCCTCATTTAATTTTTAGACTCAGACTTCTCATAGCGATAGTTGAAATTGTCTTCTTCTCAACGTCTACTATGTCTTATAGCGGTCCAAGTCATTCAGCAAAAAACGCTAATTCGCAAGAGCCTAAGCTACCTTCAACGCTTTATTGCTATGGCTGTGAAAAAGACAAGCCTATTCACTCGTTCTCGAAAACACAAGTTACAAAGGCCATGTCTAATATTCATAATCGTTAGTAACCTTACTATTCTTTTTTCTATGATCGAAAAGCGTTATTAATTTTATGAGAACGTTAGAATGGGTTTTATAAAATTATTTGAACTGTTTATTATCACAATTTTCTATCTTTTCTGCCTTAAGGCTACGCGCCAAAAGGTAGAACCACGAAAAGACATCATACAACTTGCAAGCAATGCACTCCTCAGCAAAATACTTCTTTGACCTGTATGGTTTGCACCAGAACCATGCCATTGGACAAGTTTGCTAAAGTATGTATAATTATCTTGATTATGAGTTAATCCAGTATATGAATGAGATCATTGATTATAATCAGATCCACTAAAAATATTAAAAACATCTATTTGGGGCGATTATCCTGATCTTGATTTGTACTTATTATAATATATCACTTCTAGGCTCAAAGAAAGAATGCAGAGAAAGCGAGATGCATTGGTAAGTTTTAACTAAGATAGTTATAATAGGCTACTGGCAGAATTGGAAATGGGATTTATTTTTTATATAAAATAAATTCGATTTTAAATTCTAACCATTCTTTATATTTCTTTTTAATCACTGATGGAATCATGAAAAACCTTATCATGATTCGATTAACGATTAAAATGAGTTTTCTTTTTTTTTTCTTTCCTTTTTTTTTTTTGATCTACAGTATGCTTTAATTTTGTAGTAAGTTACTAATCCAGGCTTCTAACCTCGATTTGTAATGAAAAGACTGCATGAAAAAGCAACAAGAAGAAGATACAGATGACAGTGAAGACTTCGATGATTCAGATGAAGGTCCTTATAATGAAACATGGGATGATATCTTGTAAATCCGTCTTGTAGGTGCTTATTACACTACGTGAATATGCACAAATTTACTTGTTCCTTGTTTCTTTGGCTTAATGTAAGGAAATCATAATTTTGCTATATTTGATTTCATATTTGCGTGAAATAATTTCTATATGTTTAGAGACAAATTAGTCTCAATTTATTCAGCAAGGTAAAAAAGATATCTTACAAATGATTGCTGAATTTTGTAAATTTGTTGATAATTCTATAACTGAATTAAAGATAATTTCTGATAAAGTCTAAAAGCAATAATATTGGACTCAAAAAGTTCAGTTTCGTAACTAGGGATGGCAATTTGATTGATTTATTGACTTTTGTTATTTTGTTTATTGTTTATTGAAATTTTTATTATTAAATTTTATAGTTGGTAAATATCTAATTTTTTAATATAATAATATATATCTTCATATACGTATAACAGAATTTAAATAGCTTTTTATTGTTAATAATACTGCGTATAAAAATTTACACTTCTCAAGTTTGATATTTATATTATTCAGAAAACAAAATTTTAAGCTAACAATTATCTGGTTAAGTTTGATAAAAAATGGGTTTATTTTAAATTTTATAAATTTGTTAAAATTCAAATAAAAAATAAAGTTTACTCAGGTAATCATCAAGCTATCTTTGTTTAAAGTAAAAAAAAATACTATAACGCGTATGAATAAGGAAAAAACTAATTCTGTACTATATATATACGTGTATATGAACAGGTATATATTAACGTTAATAAATTGATTTGTTTAATACGTATTAGAGGCAAGATCAGTTTTAGGGGCTTAGATAAAAAAAAACAGTTAATACTAAAATTTGGTAACGGTAGTTACAGGTTTCGCATACCAATTTCGTACAACCCCATCAAGAACGGACCTACTTTTAAATATTTACTAACTGATATCTATTACTTGGGTACGTTCTTGATAGGGGTGTACATTGATTTACAGGATACAGGATCCATTTTATGATTCATAAAAAAGGGCCCAACTTTTTTGATACTATCCCATGTAATTTAACCCTTCTGAGAATGTATATGATACAAAATTGACCAATAAAAATTCGATGATCATCGTACTATGTGGTAGATGGTCACTTGATGTTACCAATATTGATATCGACACGTTTGATCAAAATTCGACACGTTTGATTAAAATTCGATAGTCTTCTTCAAAATGTCAAAAACCGATGATCTTTTTTGTCTTGAGGACGACGATGACAATTATGTTCCTTATATACCGATCAAACAAAGACGTGAAGCTAAATTTCAGAAGCTTGTAAGCCAAAGACGCCTTCCCGAACAGCAAAATATAGTTGAAGTAGATGAAGAGGTCGAAGACTCTCACAAAGCTGGTCCCAAAGCTAACGTGAGTTTGATTGATCAAGCAGTAGAAGTCAAAAAGCAAAAAATGTTGGAAGGTATATTGCAAAAAGTTTTTATGCAAGGTTCAATTTTGTGCTTTTAATATTAAAAACTCATATACATTTCAGATGCCGTAAAGACTGAAGCAGAAAAGAAACTCGAAGAGGAAAAGGCTATAATGGATGCTGTTGCTCAGAAAAAGCTTTTAGCATCTGATCGAGAACTTGCAAAAGGCATTATTTACACAGATTCTATGACAACTACGTACGTACATTTATTCTTTCATAACGAAACGCCTTAAATTTATTTAATGACTAATAGTAACTTTTTTTTTTTTTTGAATATTTTCAGGTGGAGACCACCTCGTCATATCCTTGAAGCCCCTCAAAAAGAACATGGAGCCATAAGACAGAGATATCATATTCTTGTTGAAGGTGAAGATATCCCGCCACCAATAAAGCATTTTAGGGTTTGTATATATTATATAATAACAAAATAATTGTAATGTACACGAAATTTATCAATCATGTAATATTGTACATAATAGGACATGAAATTCCCACCGTCAATATTGAAATACTTAAAATCTAAAGGTATCAACAGACCTACGCCAATTCAGGTTCAAGGCCTTCCAGTGGTGTAAGCCAAATTGTGCAATCAATTCTATTGAACGGATGAAACTATTAAGTTTCTGAATTTTTATGGTAAGAGATTAACGGTGAAGTATGTATTTTTAGATTGTCTGGCCGAGACATGATCGGAATTGCATTTACAGGGTCTGGAAAAACCTTGGCTTTTTCGTTACCATTGGTCATGTTTGCTTTGGAAGAAGAAGTGAAACTTCCATTAATTAGGGGAGAAGGTCCTATAGGAATGATCGTGTGTCCTTCGGTAAAAAAAAAAAAAATTAAAATTAAAATATTGCATAAAAACTTTTTTTTTTATTAATTAGTAACACAATGTTAACATAAGAATGTATTATTAGCGTGAATTGGCACGACAAACATATGAAAGTATTTGCGCCATGAACGAGTTCTTAATTATGGATGGATATTCAAAGTTACGAATTCTTTTATGTATTGGCGGTATATCGATGGCAGATCAATGGAATACATTATCAGAAGGGATTCATATTGTCGTTGCAACTCCCGGTAGATTAATGGATATGTTAGAAAAAAGGAAATTTAATTTAGATTTATGCAAGTAAGTTCATTTACTACACACAACTTTTTGCTTGAAATTGGAATACATGGAATATTTAGCTTTTTTTTTTTTTTTTTTTATTTATAGATTTTTGTGTTTAGATGAGGCAGATCGTATGATTGATATGGGATTTGAAGATGATGTTAGAAATATAATGTCATATTTCACGGTATGCATATACGATTTATGATAACTTTTCTTTTTATATATATAATTTATTCACATTCATTATTTGAATATTTAGAATCAACGCCAAACTTTGCTGTATTCAGCCACTATGCCCAAGAAAATTCAAGACTTTGCAAGATCTGCATTAGTTAAACCGGTGATTGTAAATGTTGGTCGTGCAGGTGCTGCCAATTTGGATGTTATTCAAGAAGTGGAATATGTAAAACAAGAATCCAAGATTGTGTATTTATTGGAATGTTTACAGAAAACTCCACCTCCCGTAAGTAATTATTATTTATAATTACATATTCTAATGAGTAATTATTTATTAAATGACATGATTTTTTAGGTGTTAATATTTGCAGAGAATAAGAATGATGTAGATGATATTCATGAGTACCTTCTCGTTAAGGGAGTTGAAGCTGTTGCGATCCATGGAGGGAAAAGTGAGTACTTTGGCAATAAATTCATTATTAAGTAATGTAATAATTCAAATAGTTGCTAATATTTTAAGTATTAATAAGGTCAAGATGAACGTGAATTCGCAATCCGGTCATTCAAAGAATACAAGAAAGATGTTCTAGTTGCCTCTGATGTAGCTTCCAAAGGGCTAGATTTTCCAGATATTCAACATGTCATAAATTATGATATGCCAAAAGAAATCGAAAATTATGGCAAGTTATTAAAGAAAAAAAAAAACAAGAAATCAATTCAAATGCATCTAATATATTATCTGTTATTTAGTGCACAGAATTGGTCGTACTGGACGTTCTGGGAAAACCGGTGTAGCAACTACATTTATTAACATGACTTGTTCTGAACAAATTTTGCTCGATTTGAAACATTTACTCAAGGAGGCCAAACAGCGCGTTCCTCCCGTATTAGAAGCTTTAAGGGATCCATTGGAAGAAGAGTACAAAGAATTATCGGGAGGTAATATTGATTTTCATCAAAATTCCATAGGTGTGCTGTTTATGTTGATTAAATTATTTCCCAAACTACACGATTATTCATAGGTTGTACGTTTTGTGGTGGTCTTGGTCATCGTATCTCTGAATGCCCCAAGTTAGACGCTCAAAGACGACAACAAATTGGAATTATTAGCCGTGGAGGAGGAGGAGGAGAAAGAGGTGGAGAATATTAATTATAAAATTTGTGCACTTGAACAGCGGTGCACCTCTATAATCACATGAT